AAAGATAAATAAAGAGATAAGAATTTAGATGGAGATTAAGACCCAAATCTTTTTTTTTTTTTTTTTTTTTTTAATATGGCCTCTGTACATATTGCCAGATCGGTTCATAAATTGTTGTAGTCATCAGTCATGTCACTGTCAACGTTGTTCATGTCGAATAAAAACAAAACAAAACAAAATTTATCAAACTTCAAAAATGCATATAAATACTATATATACATATATCATGTACATCTTATAAATATTATAAATGTGAAAGTTTGTATGTTTGGATGTTTGATCATCACGCGGAAACGACTACACAGATTTGTATGAAAATTTGTACCCAGATAGTCTATGGGCCAGATTGGTTAATAGGCTATTTTTTAAGAGTTGCCACCTGTTAAAAAAGTTTCATTTATTTAATATGCGGGAACGACTGAATGGATTTGCGCGAAAATTTGCACACAGATAGCTTATGAGCTAGGTTGAAAAATAGGCTACTTTTTTAAGAGTTGCCACCTGTTACAAAAGTTTCATTAAATTAATACGCGGAAACGACTGAATGGATTTGCATGAAATTTTTTGCAAGCAGATAGCTTATGACCTACAGTGGAAAATAGGCTAATTTTTTGGAAGAGTTGCCACCTGTTAAAAAAGTTTAATTAAATTAATACGCGGAAACGACTAAAGGGATTTGCATGAAATTTTGCACACCGATAGCTTATGGCCTAGGTTAGAAAGTAGGCTACTTTTTTAAGAGTTGCCACCTGTTAGATATGTTTAATTTAATTAATACGCGGCAATGAGTGAACTGATTTGTATGGAAGTTTTCACACAAATAGTTTATGAGCTAGGTTGAAAAATAGGCTACTTTTTTTAAGAGTTACCACCTGCTAAAAAAGTTTAATTAAATTAATACGCGTAAATGATTGAACTGATTTGCATGAAAGTTTGCACACAGATAGCTTATGACCTAGACTGGAAAATAGGCTACTTTTTTAAGAATTGCCACCTGTTTGAAAATGAAATTTTGTTCAAAGATGGTTTATGACCTGGATTGAAACATAGGCTACTTCCTTAACAGAACGAAATTTAGTACACTTACTACGGATTTCGGAAGGATGGTCTTAGACTGAAAGTAAGTCCGATAACTCAAGGCCCCTCCCATACAAATTGGAATTTTCATATTACATGCATATCTCTGGAAGTATTTGTGGGAGAGAACTGAAACGGTATAGTGATATGTATGTGAAATCAATGTTGGCATTAATCGATTGATGTTTCAATCAGTTAGTTAATTCGATTAAATTCAATCTGATTACAGTTAATCATGATTAATTTTAATCTGACTAAACAGTTAATTAAAAAAATTAATTTTTAATTATTAACTCTTAATTTGATCAAGTAGGTTTGGTGATTAATTAATTTATGCTGAAATTTTCCGGTGCACACAAAGCAAGTTAATCCGGTATGGCTAAGTCGGGCTTCCTCATCAATCTAAGCAATTTGGTGTGCATTTTCATTAAGATATATACCAACAAACGTTTTACAAACTAGGTTTGTAAAAGTTCCCAGTTTATGTATTAATAATAACAATAATTATAATTTTTTTATATTATGTGCTTTTTATAAGCGTAAAACACAAAATAATTACTATAACTGGTGTTTGGTTTCAAAGTCGGACAAACTAGACAAATTAATCAGATTTTATTTTTAATTGGATTAACGATTAATGTTTTAAATTAATTAAACGTAATCGCAGCCAGCGATTAACGATTAAAAAATGTTATCATTAATCGTGCAGTTGATTACGACTAATTAATTTTAATCCTCAAACGCGATTAACATTTTAATCGTTAATTTTCAATCGTTAATCAGGTTAACAGTTTGCCAACACTGTGTGAAATCATGTTCATATTCACGGAGAAAAATGGACGTTTTTGGAAAAGAGGCGTAGCACCTCCCATACACAGAGAAATTTTCGTTCTCCAATTTGTATGGAACGTTTTACTTTTAAAAACGTTTTGACCCAGGTTTTGCACCTACAATATTTATTTAAATTTTGAGAACGAAAATTTTCAATTCAATTTCCAAAATCCATATTTTTGTTTTTGATACGAACATTTTCAAATCGTTTTTAAAAACGATTGTTTGATAATTGAATATGCGCATGTTGAAATTAAATCCTAAGATGTTTTTTCTTCATTTTAAAAATATGCGTTTTCAAATTTTTTTTTTATTAAATCACAAGTCGTTTGGTACACACATTGTCAAAAATATATTGATATACATATACTTATAAATAAGTTACAACATTTAATAAATGAAATACAGATATTTTACATATTATTATATACATACATACAGATGTTCCTGCCTTACTTCCTAGCTGGGCCTGCTAATTTTGCTTCACGCTGGTCAAATCCTGTAATTTAAATAAAAAGAAAGTTTTAAATTATTATTTAATAACCCATAAGAATTTGTTTTTTAAGTTACTCTTACCAAAGCTATTTTCGGTCAAAGAAGTCCACCAAGGTCCCTTTTATGTAGTGGGGGGTTAGAATGGCAGTATTGTTTATATAAACTCTATCGCCTTTTCTAAAGATTAAAGTAACTTATTTATCTGAACACAATTTTTCCGACAAATGATGTAAACATATGAAAGTTTTTCATTATAGCTAGGTAACTTTTTAAATTCTAATGGAAAACATTTTACTTTTAAATATTTTTCATGCCTAATTAACTGAAAGTAATATAAAGTTTTTATTTTAAAAATTTCTAGTTTTATTTTGCTTGTTGAAAATTGTGTCGCACTACAACTTGTTGGGACAATATTCTAAAATGTTTTATTTTAGTTTTTAAAATATCTACGCACTTTTGACGCTATTTCTTTAATGTCGTTTGTTTTCCTCAGTAAAAAAGTAAATATATTATAACGATCGTTTTTGTTTTGCGAATGTTTCGTTTTAAAGTCGTAAGTACAAATATTGTATTTTTTATTTTGTATGAAGTAAAAT